GTACGTACGTACGTACGTACGTACGTACGTACGTATGTATGCACTATAGATGGAAGAAATATGGTGTGATCATTATTTGTTTAATCTTCATCTAGAATGATAAATTTCATTCTTTTCTTCCTTTAAAGTTAAATAATAACGTCTAAAGTATAAATTATTTAAAAATTGGACCTTTAAATGGGAATATCCCCTTTAATCCTTAAGAAACGGTACTCGAAATGTTCCAATGATAACCAAAGGAAAAGTTAAGGCGCATACTGCTAAATTTTAACTCTAATTTTTTAATGTCAGAATTGATCACGGAAGAGGACAATAAGCGTTATTCTGTTGTATTTATCTCTTTTATGAAAAGCATAACGATATCGATACTTACATCAAAACCAATATGAAGAGAAAAATTTATTTACATTTTATTGTTAATAATCAATAGTTGAAGTCGTATTACAGAGAGTAAAGGATTTCTAGATAAGGAAGGAGCGTCCTATTTTTTAACAATTTTTGTCTATTGAAATATGTTTATTTTAACTCCTGAACAATTTTAAGGTTGCACTATATTTCTTCCAATAAGAACTACGTATTAATCGCTTATGAAAAGGAAAGGAAACATATGACAAGTTTTATCAATGTTTATGTTAACATTGTGTTTTAAGTCAGCTATAAATGCTTGATTATATTAATAAAATTGCTTGATCTTATAAGCAATATAAAAAAATAAAAAGAAGAAAAAATAAGTAGAGAAATCGTTGTATAAGATATACAGTTTACTTATTCAGCTTCAGTTTTTCTAAACCTCTCTATGGGTGAGTGTTAACCTTTTCTGTTTTTCTTTAAAGAGACTTACATCACATAATGTATCAAATATGGCTCTTTTCATTCGTTATAAGCTCTGAACGAAGATGAAATTTTGAACGAAACAGAAAAGGGGATGACTGCACAACGCCATTTTTATTTACATAAAAGAATTTCTAAATTTCATTTTGACCATTTCTCTTTCCAATTCCCTTTACGCAATATAACCGAGCCTCTATACCTAAGTTTACATCGTCATATAAAACAAAAAAAGACAAAAAAAAAAAAAAGAAAAGAGAAAGGAAACTAAGAGAAAAGCGGTGACGGATACGGTGAACAAAAGCCATGTTAGCTTGGGACGAAGTCCCCTCTTTCAAAATCTCCGTCCAAATAGAGGATTAACGAGGAAAGCTGGGTCCAGCGCGCGCGGAATATATCTTTTTCTCCCGGAAGAGTCAGTCTTGAGGATTGTTAGGTAGCTCTGGTACGATCTGATCCTGACACGAGGATCTGCTGGACGTGGTGCAAACTCGCAACGGTTTTGCGAGCCATGGGTGCCTCGGCACGTCCTCCGCGTACGGTCTCTCGGACGGTTCCTTTCTCAGCAACGAGCGGATCAGACATCGGGCACGTGGACTCAGACCTTCTGGTACCGCGAATTGGCCACGTGAGATCTTCGCGAACAGGGATGCGTGCTCGGCGTCGTTAAACGGATAACGACCGACCAGCATCGTGTAGAGGAGCACACCGAGTGACCAGATATCTGCAGCTTTGCCGGAATAAGCACGACCTGAGCGCAGTACTTCCGGCGCCACATATGCTGGACAGCCCCGACGATCGGTCAGCTTGTCGTCGTCACCTTCGACGATCACTGCATCTTCCAGACTTTCCAGACGAAGTCGTGTTCTGAAATAAGGAGAATAGAAATGTTAGCCATGGTGATGATTTACTCTTTATCCGGTATTACATTATTCATTAAATATTGTACTTAAGTATTTTTAAAATTAAATACGAACAGTCCATGGTTTCTACTATTTTTCTGAGTTTCTTTCGAGTATAATAGAAATGGTACTCTGAAGAAATGGCATGTTCCAAAAGTCTTTTGTTTTCATATATTCTTCATATAAATCTTGCTTTTTGGAAACAGCTTAAAGTTTGGAAACAGCATAAAAACACTTGCCAGAGAGAGAAAAAGAGAGACAGAGAAAAGGAGAGAGAGCCTGCAAAGAGAATGAATAACCTGGCTAATTTTATTCTAGCTTTCTTATTATATGTTTTAAGGTTTTTTAAACAAATTTAAATTACGTATGTTGTTTACATTGGAAATTAGTTTTCACGTTCAAGTCTGATCAAGTTCAACGCGGGGAATTTTTTAAATTATTTACATTCTGGTTTATAAATTATTTACTTTCGTTTTTTAAATTATTTACCTTTTGTTGGACAGACAGTTTTATGTTTACGAGCAAATATTTAAAGATCTAATTTAATGGAAACTTAGGGGGGTAATTTTCGTCGTTTTACGATTTATCGTGTGATTTTTATTTGCTTTGGAATTAAATATAGTAAGGCCAAATTGCGTAAGAACTGGCTGTTTAATTTAACGCTGTAATATTGCATTTAATGTATATATTAATTCTCAATTGTCACTTATCTCATGCATGCTATAAATAAAAAAAAAGGAAAGAAACTACTTCGATAATATTTTATCTACTACAAATTCTCTAACTGAAATAAAAGCAAGGTTAAATTTAAAAAAACCAACCTATTTATCTTTAACAACGTACCATATCTATTCTGAATCGATCTAATTGAACTGAGTAAGAACAAGACTTTAAAAAACACACTACTGTAAGTAAAATTCTCTCAATACGAAGAATAGAAGCAAAAAATTATTTGCTACTAAAGTTCATCGCGTCAGTTTCGACGAAAACATCGTGTCCCGTTTCTCGCTCTGCGCATGCGTCATCTTCGAAGAATAACCCTAGATCGTTGTCTAACTCCCGTATCCGATTCTATCGCGTGTACGCGTCATCGGTAGGATAATTTATATAAAACGAAGGCGATGATCGCCCGATACGACTGCGAAAAGAGGATAAGACGCAGGAGAGAGACTGCGAGAGCGTGTGTGCAACCTTTTACGTAGAGGAGGTATTTTCAATTTAGCAACAGGGGACGACATCGCGATTGAGCCATCGCTGTGTGTAATCCATCGCGCACACGGCGAGACGTCGTGGAACGAGGCAGAACGAAAGCACTGGTGAAAGAAAGGAGAGTGCGCGTGCGCCCGGAGGCCGCGTCATCAGTTGATCAACCTGCAACGCGGAAGTCGCGGGAACACGTGTACGTAATATTCCCGGCTCTTGGGTAACTTGAAGCTTTCCATGATGCTCCTTCTCACGTTGGTTACGATATCCGATCGATACGCAACGGGCATAAATATCGTTGAACAGAGCTTCCTTACTATATGACGTGCAAAGGTACATATGTATGCTTTTTGGTCTCTTTTTAGGCGGTTTATTAACCCTCCATTGCGGTACAAGTTGTATCCTACGCTTCATTCCAACTGAGTCATGGTTAAGTATTTATGTATCTGGAAATATTACGCAAAATTTTATTTTATTTTTGTATTTATCTATATTATCGTAATTTATGTTGACACACAAGATTCGTTTTATGTATCAAAACTAAAGAAAACTGAACGAGAGGAAATGTCGAGCCTAAATAGACATGGACCCACAAAAAGTTAACACCTGACCCATTGAATTCATAATAGATAAGTATACATTCACATCTATCTTTTCCCCGGTAAAAAATTCCAATGCTCAAATAATTAAGTTACTTCAATTATTTCCAGGTCTCACAGAAAATATCGATGAGCATATTTGCTCTCTTAATTATGATATTTATTTTCTCTTCAATTAAAGAAAAAACTGGTACAATTTATTTGATCAACGATACATCCGGTTGTACGAAGTTGAAAATGAATAACTGTCCAAAAGTTGTCACACAAGACATGACCATAATCTCTTAACGATATGACAGTATTTTAAATTAACGTTCATTTTGTCTAGAGATATAACGTCATTTTATATAAGATCAACGTGATTTGTACCAACGTAACAAACAAACGTAACCTACCAGAGTAACATGTATAAATAATATCTTGCTTAACAGCGTTTTGAATTAAATGTCGTTGTAATATCAAGCGGAGGAAATTCGAAATCAAATTATTGCCAACGGTAACGTTCTTAGAATACATTTAACACAGATTGGCCAGAGTGCGTGTACGTAATATCCTCGAGTCTTGAGCAACATTAAGCTCTCGACGATGCTCTGTTCTCATATCGGCCGAGACATTTGGTCGATATGTAATGTCGTAATCGTTCGGGAAATGCACACACGTGGAAAGCAGAAACTGTAATCGATGCCACGAAGCGTTTCAAAAGACAATAAGTACTGCATAATCATTCAAAATTATCCGGAAATGTTACTTCTCATTTATAGACTGTCTTAAATAAAATTCGCTCTGAAAATTCATCGGCCACGATGTACGTTCTTCTGTTAAATTTTAGTTATATTTTATAACAGATATTAATAATTTGCTTTCTTTTTCTTTTTTAACCCTTTTAGTGCCGGAGGCCGACATATCGGCTCTTGCTGCACTGGCGAGAAGTGCCAGAGCCGATATATCGGCCTGCGCCTTATAGCGCTTTACTATTCGCATTGCGGGAGAACTCTAATCTCAAAATAAATTTATAATACGTTATAAATGGTTTAATTTCATTACGAGAGAATTAAAAAAAATAGTTTTTCGTTTTAACTCTTTGTGGACGACGACTTTTTCCTATCGCTTGGAGCTAACGAAATCTAACAAAAAAACCGATGGTCGCCGCTCAGGCGACATCCGACCAGCGGTGTGAATCGCCGTGGCGTTGGGCCCTTATAGGAACATGTCGACAGCGTTTTATAAACTGTTTGAAGACTCTCACGAAATAAGATCGCATTGCCGCAGCGAGACGTAGAATCAGTTAATTTTTCTTCGATCGTTGTCGTGAACAGTATATTTCGTTTTGTCCCAGTGACAATATATAAATATAAATATTTATGTTATTATAATGAAGTATTATGCAAAATTATATCACAAATATATTTATGACAACATAATTTTGTTTCAGCAATGTTATATTACCTATAACAATTACGTATTTCGGAAGAGATAATCCGTCCGGCGCTTACCATGTACCTTCGAGTTATTTTTTATGTTTGTTATGTAATACTATTTATCTTGCTACAAAATATATCGGAAATGCAAAGTATATACTTTGTAATAAATGGTCTATATAAAATTATGACGAAAAGATGACTTTTTGTATGTGCAAATACGTTTTGTAAGAGAGAACTGGACTTTTACTTTCTTTATGATCTTTTATACCTTTGTTATTTATATAATTTTCAACGAATATAGAAAAACTAGTGTCATTGTTTTGTTCTCTATTTCGTCTTTAATATACTGCTTTTTGAATAATGTAAATATTGTTTCTTGTTTGGTTTTTATGAGCATTTTCCTAAACCCTAGTAAAACCGTGAAATTCGGCCGGTTATTCTCGCATAGGCACCTCTTTTTCGCCTGGCATTAAAAGGGTTAAGGCTACTTCATTTCTATATCAGAGCAATATTTACTCAACAATTACACTCTGAAAATTTTCCTGTACGATCAACTAGGAATCTTCATACTGTTCTGCAGAGGTAAGATTTTCAAGAGGAAAAATTTCATTTCAATCTGTAAGAAGCAATCAAGCAAGTATCGGCCAAACAGCTTGTACCATTTTCAGATGAGGATCCACCGTTCGCCACGTATCGTTCGTCGCAGGTTCGGCACACTTTCGTCGATTCGACTCGTCCCGAAGAGAGAGGAGAGAAGAAAGGAAAGGAGGAAGAGAGAGTCTGGCACACGATCTTGAAAATCCGAGCGAGTGTCAACGGCCTCGGGTGCCGTTTCCTAGAAGGAACCCGGTTTCGCCCGCTTGAAGCGGCGCGCGCGTTCTCCGCTTCGGGACGCGTCGTGGATAGGCCACGACCGCAGCTTTCTTCGCAAACTTTCACTCGTAAGCAAACGACGACGACAACGACGACTCCTACGACAGGCTGCTGGGTTCAAGAACCCCACGCCGCGCAGACGGTAAATTCTAGCGCGGTGATTTCCTTCGGAGACTCGTGTATTCGAGAGCGTGCTTGAGAAACGAGCAGCGCGTTGGGCTGCTGATGTCTACAGGCTATACCAGAGACGTTGGTTGAAAGATTGGAAATATAAGTGATCATCTATTTCGAGAAGAAAAAGAAATGGGAATTTTTAGAAGATAGTCATAGAATATGAAACTCACTGAAATGGACGAATTTTTGCTATTAGTTTGCAAGTTCTATTAAAGAGGTTGGTTGAAGATTTAGATACACAAATAATCATCCATCTTGAGAAAAAATACGCGTAAAATAAATTTTGCATGAAAAGTAAAAGGTACAAGAGAGTGGAGGAAAAAGTTTAAGAAGATATTTCACCAAATATTACAAGTTTCTAAGGATCAAGTTATTCGCGACTTGGTAAACAAATTCACGAGAACTGGATCTAAGTATGATGAAAGAAAAATTAGAAATCTAGTTGATCCTCGTAATCGTATTACAAAAGAGATTCAAAAAGTTGTATCTGAAATACTTGAAAGCGAGTTTCCTGATACAATTGGTATACGAGTTGTCTATAAGTAAGTTGATCTATAACTAATTTATAAGTTACATGCTTCCATACGTTCATTTAAACATACCTGAACATACATACAGCTCGCCTCTGACAAAGGTCTCATAATAATGAATTTTTCTTTTAATCACGCAAACTACGTTAATCACTATACAAACAT